CCGCCCCGGGAGAACCCGATCCCGTGCCAGCCATGAATAATACATCCCCCCTCCCACCTGCCTGAAACCCAACCAGCTGGCAGCCAAACCAGCCCCATAGGCGCCAGGCTGAGCTGGGGCAGCGCCAGCATGGGGACACACCGACTCCCCGCCTCGCCCTGGGGTCCCGTGGGGCCGGGCGCGGGTACCTTGATGGTCAGCATGATGTGGGTCTGCCCCTTGAGCACCTCCACTGCCTTGCTATGGCTTATGTCTTCAAACTTGACTCCGTTGGCTGCAAGGACTTGGTCTCCCACCTGGATGCCGTTCTGCTCCGCCAGCCCCCCAGGGTCCACCCTAGGGCAGAAAGGGGGGCAGGATGGGGCTGAGCCCTTCCCAGAGCCCTGCTTCTGCCCCACACCTCTGCCTGGGCAGCCCTGTGCCCCAGCACCCACGGCAGTGATGCCCACAGCCTTATGAGGGTGGGGGACTCAGCCAGGGAAGGGGGGCTGAACCCCCAGTGTGGGCGCAGCAGAGGTGGGGGTGCCATGTCCTGCCCATCCCCCCCAGCGCAGCCGTACTTGGAGACGTAGATGCCGAGGCCAAACTCCCTGCCGCCGCGGATGTTGAAGCCCAGGCAGTAGTCATCAGAGGTGGTGTAGAGGTGGACGATGCGCCGCAGCCCGTCCTCAGAGCCACTCTCCGATGGCGTTGAGCCACTTTTCTCCACCACCAGGCGCCTGTTCACCACGTCCACCCTGGGACACAGGCACAGGGTTAGGAGGAGGCTCGGAGGGCCAGCTTTCATCCTCCAGTGGGATGGGGACATTGGTGTCACCCACCATCCCTGGTGATGGGGCATGGTGAGGATGGGGTTTGCACCCACTCTTCCTGCTCCAGACCTTCCTGTCCCATCCTGTGCCCCACCTTGGGCTCTCACCACCTTTGCTCTTTGCCACCCCCCAGTCTGAGGGTCCCCCAGCCTCCGCACCATGGAGCTGGGCTTTGGGATGCCAGCATGGGGGAAGCCTTTCTCACCATGCTGTCTTCTCCTTGGAGAATTTGATGCCTGGCACACGGCCCATCCGCCGAACCACCATGCGGAGGCGGTTGTTGCCAGTGAGGACCTTGACGGCACTGCTCATGGTGATGTTCTCCAGGCTCACGCTGTTCACCTCCGTGATCTTGTCACCAACGCACAGCCCAGCCTGCTCTGCGAGGGGCACGCAGCTCAGGTGGGCACCTGACCTGGCACTGATGCCCTTGCCTGGTGCCCCATCTCCTCCCTAAATGTGTCCCCAGGCGGATCCGAACCCCACGGGAGATGGGGATGCCCAACATCTGCGCCGTGGTAGACACAGAGGGTTGTTACGTCGCTGTGGTTTGGGGATGGCCTGGCTGGAGCTCAGAGCCATCGGCGCAGGGCTGCCCAGTCCCATCCCCAGCCTTTCTCCATGGACAGCCTGAAAACGCCGTGACCATGAAGTGCTGCATCACCACTGGGGCACCGTGCCACTGGGAGGTTCCTGAGAGGGTCTTGCTTGCACATGCCTGTCCCCACCTGTGTCCCTTGCCCTGTCCCACTTACCGGCAGCACTGCCCTCCTCCACCTTGCTGACAAAGATGCCCAGCCCGTGCTCGGAGCCGCCGCGGACACTGAAGCCCAGCTTGCCATCCATGCTCTTCTCCACCGTGATGGCGTTGATGATGTCGCTCTCATTACTGGTGGCTGCGGGGATGGGACACGGGATGTGTCACTGGCGCTGGGTGCCAGCAACAAGGGCAGGGGATGTCCCAAGTCCCAGGACAGCTCTCCCTACCCCCAGAACTGGGGGGCCCCCAGCCACATGTGTAGGCGGAAGGCTGGGACTCCCCCACGCACCTTCGATGGGGGTGTTGATGAGGATGACGCGGCCCATGGGGGAGGCGGTGCGGCCGAC